TGCATGTGCATGTGCATATTTCATTTATACATGTGCGTATAGATATTTAGTAGATAAACCAAATCAAGCAGAACTTTTAGATCCTTCAATTATAAAGAAAGATTTATTGAATAATTTTTTCAAGTTTAGTTTAGAATATTTCCAAGGCATATATTACTAGTATTAAATTTATATTCATATTTTCTGGGGGTTTCATAAGATATTTATATATTCGACATTTAATAGCATCCAAGTCACTTGAGTTTTTCAGTTTCGATTTCTGTTTACTGTAAATTTATCATACAAACATTCATCTTTTTTTCTTTCCCATCTTTAGTTGATTCTAAGAGAGTCAAGAATTTAATTGTGAGCTTACTGTGGATTTGGATCCAAATTTGTTGCCGCTGCGACTAGGTTATTACTATTTAGGCCGTGTTTAGAAAAATTACTCCTCCTGTGTTGTGTATGCATTGTTTTTCAAAGCATACACGATCAATGTTTCGCTGATGCAGAATTCCCATTCTTGATTCACAAGCTAATTTGATAACGAAGAAGTGAAGATAAATACAGAGAAATGCACCAGGGAACCAAAAATGGCGCTTCATGAAATTAGAGGGTATTTTGTCCAAAATTAGCCAACCAGTCCCCTCCGAAGATACAAATATACAATTAAACTAGTTCAAAGGGCTTTACCTGTAAAATTGCGGGTGAAGAAAAGCCAAACATTTCCATGCCATCAACACTCCCGGGAGGCTGTAAAGGAGGAAGCTTTTTTCTACCCAACTTATGTTGCTTTGTAATCTCTTCATTTACTCTGTCCCGTACCAATTCCCAGCATCTAGCAGCCGAGACATGAATAAATACTTCACTTGGATTATCCTCCAAAGAAACCTAAAATGCAGTATAACCGCAGTACTGAATTAGTCATGCTCAGAACATCAAATTAGTAAAAGAATGAGTACAAGAAAGCAACACAAATTATCCGTCAGACATAAAATTTCAAGACAGATTTCTGATTGATATAAAAAACCTAATTACCATGAATAAGGGTCCATCTCGTCCAGCATCCAGAATTTCTGAGACGTAGTAGCACTTAATTGTTGGATCTAGAGCATTGATGTACCTGACTCGACTCCTAAATCCTGCATTGAACAGAACAAAAAAGCACATTCCATCAAATTCAATAAAATTTTGCACGGGAGCCAGAAGCACCATGGATGAACACTATGCATCATACCCTTCGTATAAATAGCCCTAGTGTCGCACCATGACTTTCCAGCATGCACAGCTCCAAAGTCCAGAGCTTCTACATTGCAATTGATTCTCCTAACTACTTTTGCAATACGAGGTCCCTTCTGGTGACAACACCTGTCCAAATTATTCTGAGAGACAAATGGTTTACATGATACATTTTGTACATTGTCCATTGACCCCGAATTAGCATCCAACTCCTCTTTATGACTATCTTTGTTACTTGGCTTTTTATCAGCAAACCTTTGTGCTCTCAAGCAGCAAACAACTATCATACTACGCTCAGCAGTCTCTCTTTTCAATGGAATGCTCTTAACATCTCTATTAACATCTGCACCAGTCACAGAAGATCCATGACAGGAAGTGCTCGGCAGATTGGGCCTACCCAACATCTCACCTTCTTCATGAAGATCAACTTTTATGTACTCTGAACTAGAACCATACTTCATTCTTCTGCTCATATCAGCCACGCTATTATTGGCACTTGTCGCTGGTCCGTTAACACAATTTCTCAAACTTGTCAGATCACCATGGCCAAATGGCTTCTGACCTGTATGTTTTTCAGAAGTCTCCTTTGCATTGAAAGTTTCAGACGGGGGTGCATCTCCTTCATCATCGCTCAAGACTATAATATCTTTGCCTCCTGTGGCTTCCTGTGAATTCATTTCTTGAGGAGCCAATCTTTCGAGGTTATGGGTGTGAGATAATTTATCAACTGAGCTAGGGACTTGCGTATTATCTTTTGATAAATAGGAACTCAGGGCAAGTCCAAGATCTAGCCTTGCCCATCGATATACTGCACTTAGTTTTCCCTCTAAAGCTTCAACCAATAGGTTCAATTCATTGATGTCATAACGGAAAAGAAAGAATTTGGCACTCCAGGAACATGAACACAACTGTTTTGCATGGGTCAGGCAAGCATATTTATCTGGCGAACAATGGTGACAACCTGCAGCAGACAGATGCAGATCAAATAGACATATGCTGCATTCTCTCTCACTGTGAGCATCAAAAGAATTCTCCATCTTCAGTGCCTGTGAGGATTTGCATAGGAATTCCCTCCGCACCCGCTCCATTTCAACCCGAGCCTAGCCAAAATATAATGTGCAAGATCTTCAGTTTAACAATTATGGTAGCATGTGAACCAAAAAATGGGCAACAGCAGGATGCATACACTTACCTTGAGTGCTTTTGATAGGATCCCATCTTTTCCACAAACATCCTTCCATCTTAAATTATTTGAAGTATATTTTCTCAGTAAATTATATTCCCAATTTGCTTTTACTGCTTCTCTAGCAGCACCAAGCAAGAGCTTATCATGTGAAACGGAAGTCTTTCTCCCTTGCTCACAATAGAGCTCAATGGCATTCTGCCCATGGGGCAACCAGTCAACAGGAGCGACATTAACTGCTTCAGCACAATTGAAACCACAATTAAACCCGGCATGATATGCTCGAGGGAAGGTCAGAACAAACTCTCCAGGATTCTGAACACACCGATAAACTGGCACTCCCTCAGATCTTAGGATGGAGGGGGAGAGTTGTGTGACCTGTAGAATGATAATGAATTTGGAATGAGTACAGGAAGAGGGCGAA